GTTGGTACGACAGGGTCACAGATCATTTTCTTGAAAAGGAACAGAGGGTGAATTTACATATAAATAAACGGACACATTTTATGATGTAGGCCGAAAATGAGCTTCCCCTCCTTGAAAGACCAGCAGCCGCCACTGATTTCCACGGTTTAACAGGTTTACTCATACAACCTATCGTTCAAAAGCCACAATCCCCGCGGTTTGATTAATGTGGACCATTTCAAGATACAACCACCACAGCAGGTTCAATAAATGCTTCTGTCAGACAGCCAACAAACAAACAAGAGACAGTTCTAACTCACCTATGATAGCTTATCATAATCCGCCGATCAATAATATTTCGACTAACATCCTGATACATTGGCACATAATAAACAAAACTGTTTTGGGGGGTGGGGGGTCATTCTTATCACAACAGTTTCACACATACAGGACCTGTATGCATTAACTGGGGATCATTGGACACCAGTGAGTAGTAAGAATTTTTAGTCCAGAGTTCTACATTTTGTGTACTTAAAAATGTTATACATATTGGATTTGAAATGAAACAATGACTATAAGGTTAATCTTAAAAGGTTGATAATTGATGAGTTATAATAGAAATATTTAGTCTAAACACATTTAGGGATGTCCCAATCCAGCCTTTTCCACTTCCGATCCGATACTGATATTACAGCCTTGAGTTTTGGCCGATACCGATACGAACCAAGCACGTATTATACATATTCACTTATTTTGTTGTCAGTCATGTTAGAAAAGGTTTGATCAAGCGATATTACTCTAACAAGAACAACTACTTAATCGGGTTAGGTAGAATGATCCACAACAGTTGGTATGGGAAACTGACCTGTTTCTTGTTAACAGGGTTAAAATAAATAAACTTTAAATTTGAACATTAACATTAAATAAAAAATATAGCTGGTTTGCTTTGGCTGCTTTGGCCCCTTAATAAATAGAAAATAAATCAACACAAGAAATCTTTAAAATGTCTAATATTGAAATTAAAACAGCAGCAAGACTCCACACACTTGTGCTTTGGCCCCCTAATAAAAAAAAGAAAAAAAAAAAAGATTAACACCACAAGACTTTGTTGACATTTAACAAACAATGCAGCCTTTCCTTTTCAGTTATTTTAGTAGTGTCAGTGCAAGCCTGGTGCTGCTGTTTCCTGGGACCAACAAAGGGGACAAAAAACCACACACAATATTGTACAACTGTTTAAACAAGCAAAAGTCCATCCATGACTCCTGTTTCACTAATTGTGCCCAAAACAATGCCATCAGTGCTCTTTACTTAAACAGTAAGAGTGTAAACCAAATAAAAATATCACTCTCAAAAAACCAGAGCAGAAAACAAATAGTTAACTAAATTGACTGCTACTCTTCCTACCCTCTGTGTGAGTCTGCCATCTGCATGCTGGCCTGGTGGATTGATAGTAAGAGCTGGAACGGATTACTGGAATGGACTGCTTGAATCGCGGCGCGCTAGGCTGGTCGGAAAACCTGGATCGGATTCCGTGAAAAACTGGATCAGAGTTCTTGAATCGGCATTTTTCCATGCAGTCCGATCCGATTCTGATGCACGTTTTTTGCTAATATCGGCGGCCGATACTGATCCGAATATCGGATCGGGATATCCCTAAACACATTATTACATCCATATATATCCACCTATTGTCGTTGCATTATTTCACATGTTCATATTTCTCTTCTTCTCTTTTCACTTTCATACAGATGGACTCGAGGCTCATCCTACTCTCCAGTGTGCTATGTGTGAGCTCAGTCCTGCGTGTTCTTTAATGAAGCAATAGGAGAAGATATTCGGTCTCAGTTAATGTAGTTTATTAAGCAGTAAAGGAATAAAATTACAGAGCTCTGGGTCTCAACTTCACGTCCCTGACGAACAACAAAGGTGTGTCAGTTCACGAAGTCTGACCTCCTGTCCTTCCCCTGACCCAGTATATTTGAGCGTAACAGAGTGTCATTGTGCACGCAAGGCGTTGTCCTCTTCTCATTGGCAGTTCCACTTCCTCCTTCACCACACCACGCCCCTGCCTCGTGTTAATCTGACTCCTTCCCGCTGGCGGTGGGGGCGTGGTTCCTGTTTTGAAAGACAAGAGAACAACACAACTCCCTACACGTGCTGTACCTTACTATCTGTATATCACTTTCTATTCTTTTTACCATATATGAAACTAATTATCTAAGCATTGCGGTATGTGCTCCTCAGACTTCATGTCTCTTCCTCTCCTGTACTTCTCCACTTCTGCAAAGCAAACACATTCAGATCAGCTGAAATCATCTCAGTATTCTCATTGTTCACACATCTAAAACTTATATAGTGAAACACAACTTATAGTAAAACACATAAAATCATTCTATTCCCAACAATACTCACTGTATGAAAAAACTCCCAATTGCATGTGAATATGCCTGTTCATCGCTATCAAAATGGAGGCTGATCTCTGACCTTTTGATTGACACTTGAGCTAATAGGAGCTTCCATGCTTTCTTTATGGGCTTCAACAGCCAGCAAGGGCCTCGTACTCGTCGTCCTCCGCTTATCCGGGTCCGGGTCGCGGGGGCAGCAGCCTCAGCAAAGAAGCCCAGACAGTCTTCTCCCCAGCCACCTCCTAAGATCCCGAGATACTTAAACTCCTCCACCTGAGGCAGGACCTCCCCCCCGACCTGGAGTGGGCAATCCACCCTTTTACGTCTGAGGACCACGGCCTCAGATTTGGAGATGCTGATTCTCATCCCAGCCGCTTCACACTCGGCTGCGAACCGTCCCAGCGAAGCAGAGGTCACTGTTCGATGGAGCTAGGAGGACCACGTCATCCGCAAAGAGCAGGGATGAGATCCTCCTGTCACCGAACCTGATACCCTCCACCTCTCGGCTGCACCTAGAAATTCTGTCCATGAAAGTTATGAACAGAACCGGTGACAAAGGGCAGCCCTGGCGGAGTCCAACCCTCACCGGGAACAGGTCCGACTTACTGCCAGCCATGCGAACCAGACTTGTGCTCCTTCGGTACAGGGACTGGATGGCCCTTAGCAGAGGGCCACCAACCCCATACTCCCGGAGCACCCCCTACAGGATGCCCCTGGGGACACGGTCGTAAGCCTTCTCCAAATTCACAAAACACATGTGGACTGGTTGGGCGAACTCCCATGCCCCCTCCAGCACCCTGGCAAGGGTAAAGAGCTGGCAAAAACCACATTGCTCCTCCTCAGTCCGAGGTTCAACTATCGACCGGCCCCTCTTCTCCAGCACCCTGGCGTAGACCTTACTGAGTGTGATCCCCCTGTAGTTGGAACACACTCTCTGGTCCCTTTTCTTGAAGATGGGGACCACCACCCCGGTCTGCCAGTCCAGAGGCACTGCCCCCGATGTCCAGACAATGTTGCAGAGGCGTGTCAGCCAGGACAGCCCTACAACATCCAGAGCCTTGAGATATCCAGGGCGAATCTCGTCCACCCCTGGGGCTCCGCCGCCGCGTAGTTCCTTCACTACCTCGGCGACTTCTGCCCCAGAAATTGGACGACCCGCCCCTGAGACCCCCGGCTCTGTTTCCTCACTGGAATACGTGTTGGTGGGATTGAGGAGCTCCTCAAAGTATTCCTTCCACCGCCCGACAATGTCCCCAGTTGACGTCAGCAGCTCCCCGCCCCCACTGTAAACAATGTGAGCAAGTTGCTGCCTTCCCCCCCTGAGGCGCCGGACGGTTTGCCAGAACCTCTTTGGAGCCGATCGATAGTCTTTCTCCATGGCCTCACCGAACTCCTCCAACGCCCAAGTTTTTGCCTCTGCGACTGCCGCTGCTGCGCTCCGCTTGGCCCGCCAGTACCCGTCAGCTGCTTCTGGAGACCCACAGACAGACCATTCCCTCTAGGCCTCCTTCTTCAGCCTGACGGCTCCCCTCACCTCTGGTGTCCACCAGCGGGTTCGAGGATTACCGCAGAGACTGGAACCAGCGGCCTTGCGGCCACAGCTCACAACAGCCACATCGACAATGGCAGAGCGGAACAAGGCCCATTCGGACTCAATGTCCCCCTCTGCCCTCGGGACGCGGTCGAAACTCTCCTGGAGGTGGGAGTTGAAGATCATCTTGACAGATTCTACCGCCAGGCATTCCCAGCAAACCCTCACTGCTCGTTTGGGCCTGCCAGGTCTGCGCGGTGTCCTCCCCTGCCACCTGATCCAACTCACCACCAGGTGGTGATCAGTTGACAGCTCTGCTCCTCTCTTCACCCGAGTGTCCAGAACATATGGTCGCAGGTCAAATGATACGACTACAAAGTCAATCACTGACCTGCGACATAGGCTGTCCTGGTGCCACGTGCACTGATGGACATCCTTATGCTCGAACATGGTGTTAGTTATGGCCAAACTGCGACCAGCACAGAAGTCCAATAACTGCACACCACTTGGGTTCAGATCGGGCAGGCCGTTCCTCCCAGTCACGCCCCTCCAGGTCCTGCTGTCATTGCCCACGTGAGCGTTGAAGTCCCCCAGCAGGACAATGGAGTCCCCGGTCAGGGCACTGTCCAGCACCCGTCCCAGGGACTCCAAAAAGGGCGGGTACTCTGAACTGCTGTTCGGCGCATAAGCGCAGACAACCGTCAGGACCCGTTCCCCGACCCGAAGGCGCAGGGACACAACCCTTTCGTCCACTGGGGTGAACCCCAACGTACAGGCAGAGAGTCTGGGGGCTATCAGAACGCCCGCCCCGGCCCTCCGCCTCTCACCCAGAGCAACTCCAGCAAAGGAGAGAGTCCAACTCCTGACCTCAAGTGCACTTTTGAACAGGTTACTGGGACCATATACTGTTATAAATGTAGCAATGATAAACAAATGGCTCCTCTGTTGTCATAAGGGGAAAAAACAGTCTTTCTTATTGATTTAGGTTTTCTAGATGTGTTTTCATATATATATAGTGAGCACCTCAGTAGACATTTATGTCTTGATTGAAAGTGATTCACTCTTAATTCCACATCCAGGTTATTGTTTTATTGCTGTTTATGCTTCCATGTTAAATATAAAACATTTGCCCTACATATTGAAAGTCTAAAGGGACCTAATCATAAACTCATCATCACACTAACCTAAATACCAGGCAGATCACATGACCGAGAGAACAAATTCAGCAGATTATAAAACAGAATTTTTCTGAGATACATGACAGTTTGTCAAACAAATGCTAATCCTACGTGTGTTTTCTCTCTGCAGGGATAACTGACTGAACTGAACTCCTGAGACACACAGTCTCTTCTTCTCCAGGCGTCTTTACAGTCTAGTCAGTCCTAGACTGACCATGTGTGCTGGCTATAAAGATAGGTAAGATAACACACACACACACACACACACACACACACACTAATACCAGAGTGAGTTCACATGCAAAGTAGTGGCCAAACCATCAGGAGAAATCTGGAGTTCAATTTCTTGCTCAAAAACACATCAATGTGTGAACAGGAAGAGTAAAGAAGCCCAAATAAAGGCCAAATAGATGCCTGGCTATCTCTGCCACTGTGGCAAATAAATTATTTTGGAGTATTTGGGGGTTTATCAATCCTTTCAGGGCCAATGTCACAATGACTTCATTTTATTAGCTGGAGGCAATATATGACTGGCCACCACAGGGCTGTAGGCTACATCGGAGTCCTAAAATGTCTTCTTGTTGTGTTATTGGGAGCCAGAGTATAAGGAGTCATGGCTCAAAACTTAAAGTCTATCAAATATCAGCCGCCACTGCCCATCAACAAAAACGGAGACAACTTTGGTTAAATGTAATAAGACAAAAGGACTGGATGGAGGTGATCATCAAAAATGCTTGCATGTGCAGCGAACACTTCATATTAGGTCAGGAGAAAAGTATTTACTGTTGTAGGGATGAATAACGTTATTAAGGGTTATCATGTCCACCAAATCACCTCTTAGCACATTATCTAACGTTAGCCTAGATAGCAAAACAAACCGGAGGAAAGTGGTTATTGTCTGCCGCTTTTGTAAGATTGGCATGGTAATCGACCACAATGCAGGCCATCCCACCTTCGGCAATCCCGTCAAATCATCCATCCACTGAGTGAGAGCATATGGGTCAACCAGAATGGTCCCGTTGGTCAGTGTTTACTTTTTCAAGTAACACTGGTCCTGGAGAGTGAGTGACCTGACATGTAGCATTCATAAATTCAGTCTAACACTCTACACTAAAATGAGAGCCCTGTTCAAAGAAACAGATCATTATATTTCTACATGAATTAATGAATGGTTAAGGTAATCAGATATTTACTCTGCTCGGCACTTTGCTGGACCGTCTCCCCAGACAGAGTGTCCAGAGTGCACTCTGCCACTCGGAGAGTGTAGTGCTCTGGATAACCAAACTGTACATTCAGACAGTGTTCCGTCTTAATGTGCCCTGGCATTTGGAATTGATATTTCCGAAAGCACCCTATTCAGAGAGACTTGTATCATCTTCCGTCATTGTCAAAAACAAGTGAACAGCACTTGTTAGCTAGCACTAGCTAATGTCTGTAGAGAATTGTTCTGCCTCCAGCTAAGCCGCACCCACCAAAAAAACACAATACTGTTTACTGACAAAAGGGTCTATAATATATAGAGCTTGTATTATTATACTTTAAGTTTTAACACACAAAAGAGTGCATCCATATCAATATTTGTGACGACTGTTTACAGGCCAGAAGGAGCCTGACCCTTTCTGTCACACTGTAGCCCTCTTCAGATCATTAGCTCAAACCTTCTCTGTAATACACCAGTCTGCTTTCAAAGGAAAGCATTTTCTGACCTATTTCCTGTCGTGCAGCAGCTCCAGCAGGCTGAGACTGCTTCTTAACACAATGTCTCTTCCCTTGTAGTTTGTGCCTTGCAGCTGTAGCCGACTCAGTCCCGCTCAGATGTTGTGCTGCAGTGGCGTGCACAGACTTTTTGAAGGGCAGGGGCGAAAAGAAAAAAAAGGACACGTACAGCGTGTTCTCGCCACTGAAGAGGGCACTAAGTTCTGCGTGTTTTCGAGGGCACTTTAGACATGTTTATATGTTATACAAATGGCACATTATATAGCCTGGTCTGTGAAACCCACTCACACAGACCAATACTTACTGTTCGATTCTCACCACCCACTGGAACACAAACTAGGTGTTATCAGGACCCTACAACACAGAGCCGATAACGTACCTACCAGCACTCAGGCCCAAGGGAAAGAGCATGAACATCTGAGGGAGGCTCTAAAAACTTGTGGTTACTCCAGTTGGACCTTTGTGAAATCAGCAGCCTGTTCCAGAAAGAACAAGGTAGGTGAGGAAGAAAAGAACAAGCGCAATAACATTGTCATCCCCTATGTGTCTGGGGTATCTGAAAAACTCAGGAGGATATTCAGCAAACACCACATCCCTGTGTATTTCAAACCCAGTAACACACTCAGACAAAGACTGGTACACCCAAAAGACCATACACCACACACTCAGAAGAGCAACCTAGTGTAGCGTACACTAGGTTGCTCTTCTGATTGGACAGCGTGTCCAATGCAGTGAGGAATGCCCAGACTTGTACATTGGTGAAACAAAACAACCACTAAACAAACGCATGGCCCAACATAGAAGGGCTAGCTCGTCAGGGCAAGACTCAGCTGTCTATCTACACCTCAAGGAGAAAGTACACTCCTTCGAAGACAGCAATGTGCACATTTTGGACAGGGAAGACCGATGGTTTGAAAGAGGTGTAAAAGAAGCCATCTATGTGAAATTGGAAAAGCCATCTCTCAATAGAGGAGGAGGTCTGCGACACCACCTATCCCCCACGTATAACGCTGTCCTTTCATCCTTGCCCAGGAGGCTTAACAACTTAACCTCTAAAAACAACGGTCGTTCACAAATGGCCTCATGTGACTCTGACGACTCCAGTGACAACCGTTGCAGCAGGAGTTTCAATGACTGTCGCTGACACACCATTGGAGCACTAACGAACCAGTGACATCATTGGCCTTGTGAAGACCTCCCCAGAGGTTAAATACCTGGGTGCTTCCACACCAGTTTGTCAGACTAGTTTCAGCCTAGTCAGACAAGCATGAACTGATGAAGCCTCTTGGATAAGAGGTGAAACGTCTTCTAAGACAAAACCAAGTCCAGTTGCGTTCAATTCAATTGCCTTGAGATACACTGCATTAGCAAAATATCACACCATATATGAGTGACACATTACAATTATCCACAGCACACCATCAAACCGTGAAGCCAGTGTGGCAAGCGGGGGGCGAGCAAGGGTGGTGGACAAGTGGTAAAAAAAAAATTTAATTTAGAGTATGTATTCGACATGTATTCAACGCCACCTAAGGAGTTTCACCCTAGGAACTACCAGGGTTACAGTAAACAACCAAAAAGGCACAGAGGTTCGTATCGCTACAATGAGAGAGACAGGACGTGGTTCCAGTTTAACAAAATGTATTTATTTATTTATTTATTATGTAAATCAATACTTAATAAAATAAAAATTCCACTCATGCCCCTAAAAAGGACAACATATGGGGAACCTGATCGGTGCTGAGGCTTACCAGTGGGGGAACGTGAGTCGAAGAGGGGGTGTGAGGGACCCCAAAAGAAAAAAACAAATCACCCCAATCAGATGTGAAAACCAAAGAGGACAAAAAGGGGGTGCACAGTACACACACAAAATTAAGGGGAAACCACCACTGGGACACCAGGGACCACCACCACCAGCAGCTCTCAGCAACTGAAAAGGAGAACAAAATTAGTGAGGTTGACTAAACCAAAAGAAACAAAATAAACTGAAATATGGTTGACAGCCACGTAAATATTCACAACAAAATCTTAAAGTCTTAGGCTGCGAAACATCAAACTAAGGAAAAAGAAAGAATTAACTTTAGCCTAATCAAATTAGGATTTAAACAAAGTAGGCGAATATGCAACAAACAAGAGCATAATACTGTAGGGATTTGCTAAAGGCAAGTTGGTTATTGATTATTAATTACCAATGGTAATTAGTTAAGAAATTAAATTATTAATATGTATTAATAATTCTGGGGCACCACCCTGGATACAGGGATCAATAACCAACCGGTTTTTAGACAAAAAGGGAAAAATCCTCGTCTCAGTTTGCTAATATAGGTAAATATTAACAATCAAATAATTAGAAGGCATGAACCCAAGCACTGACCATCACAACCAACTATTGATACAAAAACGATGCACAAATCACCACAGAGGACTGCTATAGTAAAGTCACAAATGTTTATTAAGCAATTATCATTCAACAATCACAAGCTGTTCACTTAATAAACATACTACACTAAATTGACTTACTAGAAGCAACAAATCAAAGCATGCAAGTGGGTCTCTGTGTGCGTGTGTGCATATGTGTGTGTATGTGTATGTGTGTGTGTGCGTGTGAAGGGAGAGAGGTAGAGAGAAAGAATGGCAGGCGTGGCCTCTTGAGGGACATGCCACGTCACGCCAGGTACTGATAAGAGTAAGGCGGGAAATTTGAGGGAAGAAGTACTGAGGCGGGATACTAGAGCAAGACAATGGGTCACAAAACAGCTGGCCACATGTGCACCTTTAAAGTACGCACAAGATGGCATCCGGCGGGATCAAACACACTGTATGCTCTAACAGAATAGCTGTACCAACACGTGTAGGTGTGTAGAGTGTGGTAATGGCGAACTGCCCTTAAGGAGTTGCTCACAAGACAATGTGTGATTTTACCACAGGTATAATGTGTGTATGTGTGTGTGTGCGTTCGAGTGTGCATGTAGGTTAGTTAAAAGAGGGGGAGAGAGAGAGAGAGAGAGAGAGAAGAAAGGCGAGCGGGCGCTCATAATCAGCGCGAGGTAAAAGCGGCCGTGGAGGAACACAATGGTCACTTTCCTATCCCTCAGAGGCCGGTAGACTAACTGGGTCAGCCTACTGTCCACTGGTCCTTGTTACAGATAGGAATGCAGCGTATTGTGAGCGCACGGCCGTCACACTAACGGCACAATCAATTTGCTCTGGCGAGTGCAACAACAAGCAGCAATCAATGATTAGATTATCAAAGAAAGGGACACTGCGGTCCTCAAAGTTCACAAAATCACAGTTAAAGTCACTCTTAAGTCACACGCTATATATAAAGTCTCTGCCCAGACTAAAGCTCTCTTACTTGAGTCGCCGGCGCGATGACGTGTGTCCCGTCTGTTGCTGTGGGATGAGTGCGCGGGCCGCTGTCCTACAGCGGAATGAAAGATGCTGTCCTCGGTGTGGCAGAAGAGAGATCAGCTGAGTCGATTCGGTTGAAGAAATGGGGCCTCGGTGACTCCGTCTTCCTCG